AGTAGAACAGTAGGACCTTTTAACTTAAAATGGCAGCTATTACCTTTCTTTCCTCCACACCAGATTTAGATATAGCCCTGCTATAACAAAAGACTAGTTCTCTGTTGAAGAATTATATTTGTTTTATTAACAAAATAAATTCATTAGCATACAGTTGTAGCTTTAAAGCATAAGCATTGAGCATATCCATCCATTACAATGTTTAAATAAACTTACTGTACAATTTCCGGTTAAAATAAAAACAGCTAGGTAATTATCTTTACTCCATACCCCCACATATTGGCATCTAGATGGGCTATTAACCCCACATATTGGCATCTAGATGGGCTATTCCTCCCCTTCTTATTTTCAAAGAAAACAAGCTTCTGTGTCTCACATTCCACATTCAAAGAAAACAAGCTTTTGTGTCTCACATTCCACAGCATTCACCAAACCAAGTTTTCACATACACAAACTCTGTCATTTTACATATCTTTAGGACCTCCTTCCTAATTACTCTTTCATGCTGTCAACCAATTAGGTTCAAGTAGGCGTAATTCACTCTGATCACCTCACAAAATTCTAATGATCCAGGTGTCTTATCTTCTCCCAGTTAGTGTTTTTTGTTGCATCTCCTCTCTCTGGACGGCCCGACCTCATGACTTTGACAAACAACTCTGCACAACAAGCTCCTGAAAAACATCTCTTTTAAATTCATCTTATACAGAACCTAATAGACTCCATTTTAGTATAACTACAATTCCCAGTTTCCTTCCATTTCGTTATACTATATAGTATCTATCCTTGTCTTTTCACCACACAGAGGAAAGCAAGCCAACACTGAATTTTTTTATTACTGCTCCTTGTCTGCCAGGGAACCATTCGTTATACTATATAGTATCTATCCCTGTCTTTTCACCACACAGAGCAAAGCAAGACAACACTGAATTGTTGTATTACTGCTCCTTGTCTGCCAGGGAACCAGCCAAAAGTAAAATTCCCATTAACCTATATGGGCTGAGCCTCCTGCAATGTCCTCAAAAGCAGTGAAACAAGGAGTCTATTCTCTGTATTACAGGGCTCACATTGCCTATATAGTATCTATCCCTGTCTTTTCACCACACAGAGCAAAGCAAGACAACACTGAATTGTTGTATTACTGCTCCTTGTCTGCCAGGGAACCAGCCAAAAGTAAAATTCCCATTAACCTATATGGGCTGAGCCTCCTGCAATGTCCTCAAAAGCAGTGAAACAAGGAGTCTATTCTCTGTATTACAGGGCTCACATTGCAGAGAATTCTTTCCTCCTCTCCTGAGTACGTTCTAGCTCTCTTCCTTTGTCCCTGGCATCATTATTCTATGGCACAGGATGTGGAAATCAACAGAATTTTCAATAACACTTACTTTTCACTTAACAGCTAATCAACATCCTGGAACATCCCATCCCTCAATGTCTTAACATTACACAATTCTATGGACAACTACACTACCAAATGCATATACAGTACAGGGAATTAACTTATCCAAACTTCTCAGACATTCCAGTCTTCAGAAGACTTACCAATGTACCATCATCAAACAATGTGTGATAAATAAACTTTTGGAAGATAGGCTTTGTGGTAGTTGCACCTCACTCTATAATGCCTCCTCAGAGACACTTGCCTGATGCCAAGTTTATGACATTTCATCACTAGATAAACACCTTTTTATTCACAAAAAAAGTTTAAAAGAAACTATTACAAAAAATAGCAGCAACAAAACCAGTCATCTAGTCAACTCAAAGTCTACTTGAGAAAAAAATCCTTCAGCTGTTTTCAAAAGAAAAGGAAAGAAAAGAAAAGAAAAAGCAGGGAAGGTGGTGATATGACTATCTCATGGATAACACTCTAAAGCACCATGGGTTTGACCTGAAATCAGAACATCCACTTGCAGACCTTAACTTCCAGATGTCATAAGAGAAAAGATGTGTCATGTGATATCAGCATCTAGATCACTTAGGATTCTTAAAGTCAAACACAGCGATTTGAATTGGGTCTGGAAATGAACTGGCAGCTAACAATTTTTTTAAAAAAATAAATAAATGATATACTGTATAAGCATACTGACTTCAATCTGTAAACAGGCACACAGAAGCTTATAGTTAAAGTTTTGAAACAGTTTCAGAAGCAGTCTGATGAAGAGTCCATTCTAATAATCCAGCCTATTATAGTGCGCAGCATTAAACTGTGGACACTACAAAACAAGGTAGAAGTAATTTAAATCACATTGATTTAAATTACAGTTAAAATCACTAGTCAGTAAGCATTTTATTTAAAAATAAATACATTTAAAAATCTGATTTTTAATTTTTAATTTCAAATCAGACCAAATCCACCCTGCTACAAAAGCAGTCATCTCAAAATACTGCACCAGTGTAACAGAACTACTGGACAACAACCATCCTCAGTCAATACACATGCAAGATATCAATTCTGGCTCAGTAAACTAAGATGAGCGCATAATCTAATTGCTCTCACTTCAGCCTTCATTTCAAGATGCTGAGTAAACAAACCAGAAAGATGCATTAAGTAAAGATTCCTCCTACATTTGATCCAGGGACTACAGTTAAATTTGCATTTTTTACCAGCTATGGAGCATAATACATCCAACTTACAACTGTCAAAGTAAAAAGACTATTAGATGGTCTGGTTGAATATGCCATACACTGATTGCTATTGTAACTGCATAAATGACAGTCATTCTTTCTTTCATTGCATATTTGCAGATAAGAACTAGAAAAACTCACCTTTTCACCCCAGTTAGATTCCAGTAAAATTATATTATCAACAGAAGAAACTCTAAAAGGCAGCTTACATCATTAAAAGAAAATACAGTATCCAAAATCTAAAAACTGTAAGTATACAAATGCTTAAAAAGATCAAACAAATACTACACTAAAAATTGTAAACAAAGTCCACATCAAAAACAGATTGAAAGTAAGAAGGCACAACGCTCCATTAAGATACCCTCATAGACAGCCAATCACTAAGGGAGAGCCTTTCTGATAAAAAAGATCATCTTCTTGCTGAAGGACTGCAAGGCTGGCCTCCCGTGGGAAGGACTTCCAGAGTCTGGGTTCAGCCATAGAGAAGGCCCTCTTCATCTTCTTGCTGAACGACTGCAAGGCTGGCCTCCCGTGGGAAAGACTTCCAGAGTCTGGGTTCAGCCATAGAGAAGGCCCTCTCCCAGGTCCCCACCAAACGCACCTATAAAAGGCCTCCCTTGACAATCCTAATACCTGGACAGACTTGTAAATGGAGATGCAGTCCTTGAGATAGCTTGAAGCCAAGCCGTTTAGGGCTTTATAGGTTAAAACCAGCATTCTGAATTGTGCCCAGAAATGGATCAGCAGCCAGTGGAGCTACTGCAAGAGGACTCCGTGATCTCTGTAACCAGCCCCAGTTAATCTGGCTGCAGCTCTGTGATCTCTGTAACCAGCCCCAGTAAATCTGGCTGCAGCATTTTGGACCCGCTAAAGCTTCCAAAGACTTTCTAAAGGCAGCCCCACATAGAGTGTGTTAACAAAGGCATGTGTTACCATGGCCAGATCTGATTCAGGAATGGGTGCAGCTGGCACACTATACTTTTAACTGTGTAAATGCACTTCTTGCCACCACCAAGACCTGGGCATCCAGATTTAGGGATGAAAGCAGGAGCACTCACACATTGTGCACCTGTGTTTTGAGATGGTGTGTAACCCCTTGCCCAGCACAGGCTGCAAGCCTATTTCTTGCTCTGCCTTTCGACTAAGCAGGAACACCTGTCCTGATTACTCTTGAAGTTACTGTTACCTACAAAAAAGTAAATTACTTCAACACATGTTCTTAAAGCAGTTTCTCTCTTGCATGCAATGAAAATATCATCTCTGTATGTTTTTCAAAAGGGGTCATGTGCAGTGGGACAAAAAAAAAGCCCAGACAGCAATCACAACGTCTTGTAAGTTCACATCTGATTCTATACATACAGATTGGACAGTCCAAAAGAACACTGAGATGCTGTGTGTTTTGAGGTTCTTTTCCCCCATGCATCATGCTCTACAACACAGGGGAAGCAAAGTTACAGGAGGATGTTCCCCGTATCTTTTCAACCTCCCTGAACTATGATAAGAAATGACTCAAATACTCATGCAAAGTCTTCTTGCAATGGAATGAAGAGCTACTGACTTTACAAAAGGCATACAATAGGGTGTGGTGTGGTGGTAGATTTCCATTCCATTGTTTGTAAATGGCTTAGAGAAAACAATCAAATTAAGCTGGAAAATACAATTAGTATTTTGTTTCCCCCATGTTAATAGATTTTAAATGGGAGTGTGGAGAACTCCCCCCCACTCACTCTGCCCCCAAATAAATGGTGTGCATATCAGGGCCAATCAATCTGGTAAGCAAGTCCAGGCCTTCTGAAATCTATCTGCCAGACAACATTAATGTTGTCAAAAGGTATAGAACTGGGGGGGGAGGGGGGGGAATTACAGCGCAGCTGGACTTTACACACACACACAACACAAGCAAGGAACCCACGTGGGACTCCAAAGGGGCCATCCACAGCCAAAACCAGGTATTTTGACAAGCATGCCTATGTTACACCCGTGCTTTCTCCCGGTCACTTGTCACTGTGCATTTCTTTACATTTTAGGGAGTAACTCCCGCTGAATTCAAACAAAGCTCCTCCTGATTAAACCTGAGCCGGTCTGAGGAAGTCGGGCGCCCAGAAACAAGACAAGGGGGCGAACCGCTCCATCCCCGGGGAAAGGCAGCGCTCAGAAGAAGAAGAAAAGAAAGCGGGGAGGTCCCTGAAAGGACAAGAGGAGCTGGGAAACCGACTCCTGCCACGACAGGGCCCCCAAAGGTGGGGAAGAGAGCCCACGGGGAAGAGAGAAAGGAAGCTCTCCCCCCCCCCCCCTCAGCCTCACAAGGGAAGGGAAGGGAAAGTGGCAGGCCCGGCGGGGCGGAGGACCACTCCCGGGCGCCGCTCTCGGCCACTCACCCAGGTCAGCAAGCTCTCGCCGAGCTCGGCCCGCTCCAGGCTGTCCACACTGAACATGGTGCAGGCCGGGCGGCGGCGGCAGGGGGGACCCTCTTCTGCCCGCAGCGGAGCTCCGGTGGTCGCCGGGGCCTTCTTGAGACAAGAAGGAAGGAAGGAAGGCAGGAGAAGAGACTCTGCCCGGGGCGCCTCCCTGTTCCCAGCCCTTTTCCTTCTCGCCGTCACCGCTTTCCTCCTCACCCAACCCAGGCCGGCCGAGCCGAGCCGGGCCGGGCTGTTGCTGCTGCCGCTGCCGCTGTAACGCAGACACGTCACCGGGCCCCCGTCGGGATCCGCCCGTTCCGTTGGTCCCCGGCAAAGACGGCGCAGGCGCCCGACCACTCACTCACTCACTCGAGGCCCGCCTTTGCTCAGTCACGCAGGAGGAGGCGGAGCGGGGAAGGACCCGGGTGAGTTGGGGCCAGGAGGAGCCGCCGCCGCCGCTGCCGCCGCTGCTGCTTCTGGTGCTGAGAGGCCTCGCCTGCGCCCTTCGGGAACTGAGGTAACTTAACTGAGGCGAGCGAAGAGGCGGCTGAACCCGCCGCCCACTTGGGGCGCTTTCCCGGCCAGGCCGTGGCTGCCCTCTCCTTTTCCTCCCCCCCCCGTAAGAGGCGAAGCCCTTTTTCCCCCTTAGAAATGTCACTCGTTTCAGTTTAGTTTTTTTTTTCCAACCTCCTCCCCCCCGTGGTTGAACCGCATACTCTCTAACCGCCTTCTCCGGGCTTGCAAGTGTTAACATCACCCGGAGTCCCGCCGGCTCTCTGGGATGGCCAAGCGTGTGTGTGTGTGTTTGTGGGTTTTTTTTTTTTCGGTGGGGGGGCCGCTTTGGGGGGGGGGTTAACCTGCTCCTGGGGCCCAAACGTGGCCTCGTGAAGCTACAGATAACAGTGGAGGGACTAGGAGTTGTGTTAGTGCTGGAAGCAGCCCCGAGGTGCTTTGTTGGGATCGGGGTAAATGTAAACTAGTGCGTTTGCGTGGGTGCCCTTTGATGCGGGAAATGTGGCCATATGACGGGGGTGTGAATAGTGGGAATGTGTGAACTTATTATGCCTGGGTTCCAACAACTTTTGAGTTTCTTTCTCCCGTGGGGTAACTTTTAGGGCTTTTCCTTTTGGAAGGTGCTGCCTTGCTTAGTCAGGAGAGCAAAAGGATCTACTGTATCTACCTTAAACTGATAAGGCCTCTGGTCACACCTTCTTGCCTAACACTTGTTATTTTCCTAACACACCTTCCTGGGACTTCAGATATGGATCTCCCTAGCGCCTTTTTTTCATGCCATCAAATCGATTCTAACTCATGGCGACCCTTTCCAGGGTTTTCTAGATACTTGAATACTCAGAAATGGTTTACCTGCACAGACTGGTTCTCTCTTATAGGAGGCGCAGTGTGAGATTGAACTCCCAACCTCAGACACATCCTCACCTAGCTACCCAGCCTTATCTGGATTTGGCAGGGACTGAACCTTAGAGATTTTGGATGGAAAACACTTATTTACCACAGGGCCAGAGCCTTCACCCCCAGGGGGCTGAGTCTGAAGATCAAGGATGAGTCTTTTGTACCAAGCCCTGAATCCCAAGCCCCAAGCTCAAGTCCCTATTAAAAGCAAGCTTTTTTTCCTCAGAAGAAAAGGGAGGAGGTGGGTTCCAGGTATGAAGTTGAATCTGAGTTGGGGGTGGGGGGAACCCAAGTTGAGGCATTGGTGTGACTTGTGTTTGACTTGACAGCACGTCTCGTGACTTGAGTTCCCGTCCCTGTTCAGCCCAAAGGCCTCCAGATATTGTTGAACTCCAACTCCCATAAACCTTAGCCAGCATTTATAATAATGGTCATAAAGTTGAGTGTTGTGGACTAACAACATTGGAAGGGGGCACAAATTCACCACTCTAATACCATATTATGATTTGAGATTATGCTGGAGTAAGTGTTGTACTTTTAAAAACTAAAATAATTAACACAGTTCAAATTTAAATTGAAGAATGGTGTCATCCTTAAAATTGTCAATGACAGACAACAATCAAAAGTGAAAGCAGAGAGCAATAGTGATAGAATTCTAAGTGAAACTGGTAAACACCTGGCATTTTCTTTAGCATTTTCCAGAGACAAGGTGAATAATTTCATAATAACTTTTATGAAAACATTAAATGAGAACAACAAAAAGGGAGAAATGAGATCCTTTCTATGAGATCCAAGAAACCAAAGGTAGATGTAATCCTAGATTTGGAATCTTGAAAAAGCAGCAGAGAATAAATTATCTAAACAGGATAAAATAAAAAGTCCGAAAGAGTATACGCATATAGAAGATGTGGGACGACAACAGATTCTTTCAAAGATAGCATCTTTGATAAAGAACTTGCAGTTTTTGAAAGTGAAGTGAAAGCTGTTCCTAAAGCACTTGGAAGAAATAAATCACAAGAGGTATGTGGGATGCCAATAGACCTTTCAAAATACTAACAATAATACACCAGCAAATATGGAAAATAGAGCAGTAGCCCACAGTTTGGAAATGTTCAATATTCATTCCTGTTCTAAAGAAGGAAAATGCTAAAGTTTGCAGTAACCATAACATTTCCTATGCAAGCAAAGCGATAACGAAAACATTTCCTATGCAAGCAAAGAGATGTCCAAGATTTTACAGCAAACACTTTTATAATACTGTATATGGAATAAGAAATGCCAGAGGTTCAGTTGGATCCAGAAAAGGAAGAGACATTAGAGATCATATCACAAATGTATTTTGACTTCAGGAACATATCAAAGAATTTGAGAAGAAAATCAGTTTGTGCTTTATAAATTACAGAAAGCTGCAGAGTGAATGGCTTTTTCTGTAAAAATAGGTGTGTCTCAAATTAGCAGCACTATGTAACCTTATTCTAGGTACAAAATGTTCACAGTACAGTATTAATAAATAATATATAAGAAACCAATGCTGTTTTAAAAAGTTTGGATATGCACCTCTTGGAAACACTTTAATCTAGGTGTATCCCATACTTATAAATAGAGGCTGGAAAATCTCTTGAGGTTCTTATTCCTATTATTAATAATAATTGCACACTGTCAAGTAGATGCTGACTTGCGATGAAACTTCTCAGGACATTTTAGGTATAAAGTGCTCAAAAGTGGTTTATGATTCACTTCTTCTGGGGGTATTTAGGGACTGTGCAGCTTGGCTGAGGCTATATAAATTGGCTCCCTCCCCCATTTCAGTGAGCAATGGAACCCCTGACCTCTGGTCCTGTATCAGATTCATGAACTGTCCAAGTCCAACACTGTAAATTTTAGAAAAAAATAATTTTCTTGAAAGGAATCCCTTCCTTATGTGTGATTCAGTTACAAATGTGCCAGAATTATATTGTTTTATTTCTAGAAAAGCAACATTAATGTATTTAACTATGTTTTCAAAATATATGTACATATATATTGTGTGTTATGTGTGTATATTACAGTCAAGTTGAAACCTTATTGCAAGCATGTTCCCAGTTTTGTGAGAAAGCCTATCCTAGGCAATGAGCTACAAATCTGTTATTTAAACCATACCTTCAACTGTAAACCTGCAGTATTTGTGTATCAATCAGCATGACACTTGTTTGAACGACACAGACAAGTTAGCCCAAGTTAAACAGGGTGCCATACAGACTTTTCATGTATACTGTACATCATAGCATGTTTAAGTCAGTCTTCAATTAAGTACATGTGTGACTCAAAATAATAAAGATAGTATGCATGTTTTCTTTTTTTTAAAAAAAGAATCATTTTACTTGTTCGAAATGTAAAATATTTACTGAAGAAATCAGACCATATTTAGTTTCCAACATTTTTTCGGGTATTAACCAGCTCATTGGGAAGGATGACAGAGAATGATTAATACTTACCAGAACTTGCTAGACCCTATTGAGCCCTAGAGAAAGTAAACACTGAGGGAAGAAGCCATGAACAAACCTTTGAGCTGGAATCACACACAAAAGGGGAGGGAGCTAATTAGTCTTCTGCTTTGTGGGTGGGAGAACAGAGTCTATTCTGAGTCTATGATGTTCCTTATTCATTATTTCTTGAGAACCAATAGTTGCAGTTGAGTATTCTTTGTGAAAGTATTCTTTGTGAAGGCAAGAGGACAAGGGGACGACAGAGGATGAGATGGTTGGACAGTGTCATCGAAGCTACGAACGTGAATTTGACCCAACTCTGGGAGGCAGTGGAAGACAGGAGGGCCTGGTGTGCTCTGGTCCATGGGGTCATGAAGAGTCCGGCATGACTTAATGACTATTCTTTGTGAATGACCTGCTTAGGAAATAATGCATCTTGGGATGAAACTGACAGAGGAGTAAAAGAACAGCAAAGATATTTTATGACCATAACTGAAACTTTATATAAAAAATACCATAGGAATTAGTGGGAAATAATTAAGGTGTGTAAATAGATCAGGCATCTTACTTGAGTATAGTGGATTTGAAATTCATTGGCGTTCTTTATAAGATTTGCGCACACATATTCCTGGTCTTTTTTTTCTTTTCATCCTGGTGCTTTCTAGACCGTTCTGTATTAGACAAGTTGCATTTATCGCAAGAAAACTTACTGCATGATATATTGATAGTCCTTAAGGTACCACAGAATTCATCCTGTGATGTTTGTTTTACCAGACCAAACTAACATTGTTTCTTTTTGAATTGCAAAGTATTCGTGGTTGGGAAAATACATGCACTCAGCGTCTATGGTTGTCTCTTCCACTGTTGTTTTCTGCATTGCACTGCTTTATGTGATTTAGGTTTAGAGTTTTCTGGTTTTGACTTGTATAATACAAGTTGCCTTGTATTGTAAATATCTTAAATAACATTGAGAATTTTACTACATAGCTATCATGTTGATAATGATACCTCCTGTAGAGTCCTACCTGTTGTTCTTTCACTAGTGGGCATAATGTTTTTTATTCAAGCAGTTGACTGCTAAGAACTTTCTTTTTAAAAAATTGGTACTGTATTTTTAGAGATATATTTTAAAATCTTATTTAATTTAAGAGTGTTTTCATGTTGTTTATATAGTTCCCTATTTGTTTTTGTCTATACTTGTTTACAATCTCATCATGAGGTATTCTGGAGCCCAGGTTTGTGGGAAAGGTGGGAAGCAAGGGCATCAAGTAAGTAAAGTCAGATAGTAATCTTAGAGTTCATGAGAGCTGCTCATGATGCCTGTGGTGATTGCCCACGTCATTCTTGCCATTCATATTCATGAGCTAATTTGCATGAACCTATGAGAGAACTGGAGAGGCAGAGTTAGCAGCTACATGAGGCTTGGCGGAAGAGTCATCAGATAGGGATTGGAATGAGATACTGATAGCGATAGGGCTGGTTAGTCAGAGAGAGAGAGAGAGAGAGGGAACAGATACAGTGGTGCCCCGCATAGCGACGTTAATCTGTTCCGGATTAATCGTTGCTATGCAAAAACAACGCTAAACGGATCGAAAAACCCCTTAGGGACGCATTAAACTTAGTTTAATGCGTTCCTATGGGG